GATAATTTTAGCGTTTTGCCTGTCTCAAATTGTCGACGTTCATGAATTGATGTAGGTATTATGCTGCATCGTTGAATGTGGACAAAAAGCGCGCAACTATTCGAACTCTGGACTTCTGGAGCAGTTACGCGGTATCACGCGAAAACGAAGGCAAGTCTTGGATTTTTAACTTTCTCAAATCACTAACGTTTATAAATACCTTGATATTCATACGAAAAATGTTGGACAAACTTTTTTGATTGATACTAAAATCTATGAATGACCCTTCAGGCAGGATTCACCCGTCGGACAGTGGATCGAGTCAAGTAGAAAGGTCGGACATGAAATATTTGACAAAAACTGCCAACTTAGATGTTTGTTTCGTCATATTTTAAAGTTTAAGGGGTGCCACTAGAAGAAAATTTGACGAGGGAACCAATGGAACCACTTTGAAAATCTCAAACTTTTGTATTCACGGAATTAAACGCTTTATAGGTTTGGAAATTTTGTCCGAGCTCTCGTATTGACTTGATCCGGCGTGCGGCGCGGCGTCGCGATCAAAATTTCCTTCCGTCTCCGATGGTCATCTTCGTGTTGGTGGCCGTCGCGTGGCCGTTGTCGCGTGCGCGACGTCGTCGTCGTCGTCGTCGCGGCGATGGCGTGCAAGTTCGTCCGGTGGCGCCAACCGCTTCGACTCCAGCTCGGGGCCCGGGGGGCCTTCCGCAATTCCGCATTCTGGGCATTCGTCATTTCCCACATCGCTACGTGCGAATCTCCATCCGCCGCAGACGAAGAATAGGTCGACAATCCTCGAGATCATTTTTCTCATTTTTATCTTTTTTCAGCCTCCACGCAACCACCTGTTGGATGTCTAACGGAGAGCCCTCTCTCTCGAAACCCGTTACATCGTTGGTTGGTTAGAAATACGTTTAGTTATTTAAACGTTATTATATACGTTTATCTGGTTAGATGTGCTTTTAACATCTGAGTCATCAACACCTTAGAGGAGCGATCAAAATAGTACAGCACAGAATTTAAAACATTTAAAAAGTAAGGGAAGTAAACAAAAATAAAAGATAGTACAAGGAAAGAATACATTAAAGGAGATTCATTCGTTTGAAGAAGAAAGGGATTTCATGAAAAAACTTTAAAAGTATGGTATTGAGATCAGAAAGTGGAGGGAAAATTTTGGATCTTAATTGTTGATGATAGGTAGGGCAAGTTATTAAAATATGTCTAACTGAGAGGGGGACATTACAAGAGATGCAGGTTGGGGGTTGGACTTTCTTAATTATGTATTGGTGGGTGAAAGACGTGTGTCCAATGCACAGCCTAATTAGTTTTACTTGATCCACACGTGGTAGACCAGGAAGTTGAGGGAATGTGGACATTGGAGGATTTTTATATTGGCAATACACTGTCCACTCTTGTTGCCAATTTGTGAAGAGATAAATGTCTCGCTTTGTGAAGCTTGGCCCGTCTGTTTTCGCACTGGCCATCAAACTCAATAGCTTGAGTTGATTCATTTTCAATGGGTCAGTAGCGTTGGCCGCAGAATTGCATTTGAAGATACGTTCGAGCAGATCAGCAAAAAATCATAAGATATGTCCGAGACACTTAGTTTCTACGCCCAATAATATCCAAGATATCGCATTGAGAAGGCGACAGCCTTCCGAAAAATGGGGCGTATCATGTCTTCCACGATGGTAACATATGGTTTGTTTCACCTTAGTTTCGTCGATGGGTCACTAAACCATGAACGAATTTTCACTTGCAGGTAGATTGTCCTGAAGCTAGTGGGCATGTAGAACATGCACGCATTAAAAACGAGAAAAAGTAATTCCGAAACCGAGAAATACACCGGTCAAAAAGCGCAACTTTTCCGCAAATTCAAAACGCTCCGGTTTAGGGCCGAGCCGAAAGATGTCATCCGGCACCAATCAAAAGCGAGCACGGGTTTCTACGACTTCCGTCAAATGCCTTCCTACTCCTTACACATGAAAACAATAGTGAAGCGAAACTCTACCTTCAGAAGTAAAGAATTGAATCTCACTCATGTTATCTTGTTAGTAAACAAGCAACAATTCCACAAAGAAATAAGTTTTATTTGGACGTATTTCTGTCAAACAGAACTATGTTCACAAAGACATGAGCCCTGAGACCCATAAGAATATATGCACTACAAGGCTCACGTCATAATACACATAGTTCCGTTTGGTAGAAATATGTCCATTTTAAAAAACATCAGTGGAAATGAGAGGTCACAGCGATTTGACGGCCGCAGCACTTAACTGTCATCAATTTCCCGCCATTCCGGCGCGTTTGAAATTCCTTCGAGTCTCTAGACTTTATAGAGGCGGGGTTTTCCGGCAATTAGGCTCCGAAAATACCAAATATATCTCCAAGAGATCTCTTCATCTGATACTTTTAGAACATTCAATAAAAAACATGAGGTTTGGTGACCCATTAGTGTTACACTTTTGTCCTGGTTGAATGAAACCAAGGTGGAAGATCCCGTGGTGTGCATCACCGTGGTGAACGATGTCATGCCGTGTTTTTAAAAGAGCAATATATGTGTTTAATGGATCAGGAAACTTCGTGTTTGTGCAGATCTTCACCAAAAAAATTGAAGTTGATTTAACATTCTGGATGTGAAAAAAGCGTGTGAGAACTTATGAAATACTGAATTAACCGCCACAGCAGCTAGTTTTAAATCTTGGTATTGCTGAAGTAACTGATGTAGCGAGTAATACAACATTTTATAAGTTCTCGCACACTTTTTTACTTTCAGAACGTTAAATCAAAATCTTCTTTTTTCGGTGTTAATATTTTTTGCAAATCTATAATTTAAAATCGTCAAAAAACAAGTGTGTGACCAACGCAACAGACCCATGGTCGCAATTATGCAAAAAAACAAGAGTGCATTTAGTTTACAGGCATTTTCTGAAAAAATTTTGGACGATATTTTGCGAAATTTTCCCAGTGGATACGGCAAAGTCTTTGACTTACTGCCAACCTCCGTTGCAACAAAACAAAAATTCCTCTGTGCGACGTTGCACCTACAATATTTGGTTTTCATGCTAGTAGCAGTGACGATCACGTCCGAAATTCTAGACCCGCTTTTGGATTCCTTCGTTTTTGGGTTGAAAATAGGATCCATGCAAATGTAGGCAATGCTATTCATCAAGAAACTGAGTTTGGATCTTGACTTCAGCTGAGCGTTTTTCTCCTTTGGTTTGCAACCCTGTCGATCTAGTTGAAAAAGTCGAACGACCAAACCCACCCGCAAAAATTCACCTATGAACCCACGAAAAACGAGTTCAAAGGTGGGTGGTTTGAGCTTGGTTTCGCATAGAGTGATGCAAATACTTTCCTGCGATAAAAAAAGGTCAGATATAAAGTTTTGTATAGATTCGGTTAGATAGGAGGGAGAGAGCTGTGTAAGCTGTGCAAGAGATCATATTTTTCGACCGCGGGGGGTTCCGAAAGCCTCTCTCACAATTTAATCGTAAATTGAAATCCCTTAAACCTTTTGACGCTTAAACAAAACGGAATATATTTTTATTGCCTCGGGCTGATGTGGAAGTTGAAGTATGTATTTATCCGATTACGATGCTTTTTTCATTCCAACCGGCTCCCTTCATTAAGGCATGAACATTTTAATGAAAACTTCGATAGAAGAATTGATCATTGTAATCTGCAAATTGTGTAGTATACAGTCCTGCTCGAGGTTCCAAATTATAATGACCCGTTACTCAAACACAAACGCTAGACTGGATACTTGTGTTATTACAATAAATGAAAAAAACAGATTCTTAACTGTTAAGCCCTACATGGACCGTACACTGTATTGCACATCTCACACTATCGCGGTATTCTAAAATAAATTACTCAGAAGTCTCAGCGTAACTAGAAATATGGGTGATAAATCAGAATATTTCAAAAACCAATAAATAATTCGCACATTTTTTACGAATACATGTAAATACATTAAGCCTTTATCCGATAGTTTATTTAATATCTTATTAGCTCGACCTGGATTGACTTGTATCGAGGATTAACGCTGCGCTGACGCTGCTGGCCGTATGTCGCGCTGTCGCGTCCAGTCGTCCAACGAAGTTAAAGCGCCTGAATCTGAGCGGATACGCAACACGCAATGTAGCTGACCAATAATAATTTCCGGCGTCGACTGTTGAAGGGGCTTTAGAAAGTGAAGGCCATTAACAGCTCAGTCCTTCCTTAGAATTTTTTTTTCATCAAATAAATGGAGATTGAGCCTTTTAGCTATCCTGAAATGAGTAAACCTCTTGTGAACTCCTAAACTCGAAAATACACATTTCGGGAATGGATATTTACATTGACAAAAAATTAAGGTAGATTTACGTAAAAGCTTGAGAGAGCGAAATTTTACATTAATCCCGCAAGCATCGACTCAAATGACAATCCAAAGAGTGAGAAAGGAGAGTGCACCTCGACGAAAAGTTCTTCGAAAATTAAAAAAGTTCATTTTAAACGAGATCGCATCGAAAATTGGAATGAATTTAAATTAAGGCGTCAACTTTTCATCGGCTGCTTGCGTTTTAGCTTTTCACTATTTTCATGAATCTGTTTGTTATTTTGTGAAAGTTCTGAAAAAAGTATCAGGGCTCACCTCCTGAAATTGTGTTGCTGCCCCCAATTTGTTGGACCATATGGACATTTCCAATTAATTATTATCATGATCTTCAACATTGACTTACACATTGATGGAATGAAATCGTAAAAAAGAAACAAAATTTCAATGATCAACGCAGATTATGCCCTCCGAGTTTCAATTGGACGTGTTTCTGTTTTTTAAAAACGGAACTAAGCGCCATGGAAAAGCCTTGCGAGTATAGAACGGAACGAGGAAATCGTTCCGCAACACCCGCCAATCCAAGCCCCCCTCTCCCTTCCTCCCCCTATGGCGGTTAGTTCCGTTTGCTAGAAATACGTCCGATTAACTTGGTTAGTGACAAAAATGTAGAAGGAGTCTTTCTTACCTTTTAGGTTGGGTGGTCTGGGTGGCGGCCTGGAAGGACTTGGGGAGGGACAGCGACCGCTGCTGGGCCTCCCTCCACTGGTGACCGCCGTTGGGAATGACCGGCGAACCGGCGAGCATCGTCGGGGACCCCATGGCGTAGCCGACACTCTTCCGTTCACCGAGGGGCGACGCCGAAACCGCGCCCACCCCGTTACTGCTCCCCGACGACGACAACGGCGACGACACCTCCGCCCGCGGGGGCGGCACCGGGGGGTCCACCGACGATACCCGCCTCTGGGGGGCCTTCGGGGGGCTCCTCCCCTCTCCCATCATCCGATACCGATACGCATCCGAACTGGCGCGCTTGAGGTTCAACCCCATCTCGGAATCGTTGGAGCACGGTCGCACGGCACGCACTACACGCTTCACTTTCTCCGGGTACCCGGAATCATCGTCGACCCTCTCCAAGGACGCCGGCGACGACATGGCCGACGCGGGGTAGCCGCGACGCTTCTCCGTGTCCGAGTTGGAGTAGGAGTTGGAGGGTTTGAGGTTGCGGGCCTTGGGGCGGGGTTTGGGGTCGGGGTAGGGGTGGGCGCACTGGGGCCAGTAGTCGCAGGTGTTGGGGTTGCACGGGTTCGCGTTGGAGGTAGTGTGGTAGGCCTCGCTCGGGGAGAGGGTTTTCGTGAGCGGGGTCACCGCGCCGCGGGCCAGGAGCCGGGGTTTCTGCGGGTCGCCGTTCTTCGGCACCAGGTAGATGTCGATCCCCTGGTCGTGGAGGATCTTGGCTTTGTGCTTCTTGGAGGCGGCGTCGGCGGCCGGCGAGTCGAAGTAGCGGTGTAGGAGGAGGGCTCGCGCCGCCTCCTGGCTCCGGGAACCGTAGAGGTATTCCGTGATGATCCGGGCCTCCTCTTCCGCCTCTCGCCGCACTTCGTCCTCCAGCTCCTCCGACTTGCTCGACCCTGTAACAATAGTTGAAAAGTATCTTTAGAAAAACTTCATATCTCCCATGAACGAAACCAAGCGGGCAGTGATTAGGGTAAGGGGACCAACACTTCATTAAAAAAATAAAGGAAAAAAAGGGCTAGAAAGGTATTTGATTGGGTTCCTCCCGGAAGAAGGCGGCGTGGACGTCCAGTAAAAGGTTGGCGAGAGAGAGTGGAGAGGGAGATCAGACGGTGTAATCTGCCCGATGATTTGTGGGAGGATCGATTCCGATGGCGATTTGGAGTCGCAGAGCGCTCTAGTGCGCCGAGGTAGCGGCTTGATATGTATGTAAAAAGGGCCATGCTCGACGTAAATGCTGCCGTGCTAAGGGAGAACGCCGTATGAACATTCGAGAGCTGCCAATTTTCCCTGGATAAAACATGTATGCTTGACAACATTCATGCATATTTTTCCTTGAAATTTTCAGATATTTTAGATTAAATTGCGAAAAAAATAGTCTGAAAAATTGGAAGGAAAATATTTACAATTTCCCCCAATAAATTCGTATTTTTTCAGAGAAAATTTTGCAACGCCTGAGGGTTCATACGGTGTTTATCCTCAGCACGACAGTATAAGGTCATGCTAAGGAAGAACGCCGTATGAGCTTTCAGGCGTTGCCAAGTTTCCTCCGATAAAAACCGAATTTACTGGGAATACAGCGAATATCATTTTCCAAAAATGTCAGACAATTTTGTACGCAAATTAATCTTAAATATCTGAAAATTTCAGGGAAAAATATGCATGATTGTTGTCAAAAATACACGTTTTATCAAGGAAAATTTCGCAACTCTTTAATGTTCATACGGCGTTCTTCCTTAGCACGGCAGTATACTTGGCAACATTTCAGAGATACACGTTAAGGGCCGTGCCCGGAGATTTTGGGCGAAAGCGTTAATTGAGAGGAAACCCGTCGTTGATTAAGCAAATAAATCCTGATTGTCTGAGGTCCGACTCCTCTTGAGCCACATCTCAATCCGTTCATCTAAACGCTTTAAACTCATGAGTCCTCAATGTCGTGGAAAGTAGGGGAAGGCAGGGATGAAGCCGATTAGGCACTTGGACCCTTCCGTGAATAAACGGCTTCGTTAAGACCCTGTTTGGCTCGTGCTTCGTTGAGCCCGAGGCGTTGCTTTCCAGGGCTTAAATCTCCTTTAAATGGGCCGGAAATTATCGCCGTTCCAGCCGACCAACGCGTCGACTTCTAAACGTCTTTTGACCGAAAGACAAGAGGCGTATTACATTTCTTACGTGCACTCTTAATCGTTGGACGTTTGGTCCGTTTCTATGTCTAGAGCCCACGGCGAATTTCTCGCAATGAACTCGACGAAGTAAGTGATAAAATGTTCAGCCGATTTTTTCAGCTCATCGATATCTAAGTCTGGAAATAATAAACATCTTACGGATCGAACAACGACGCAACAAGTCGCAATTCGGAAAAAAATGGATTTGGGGTAGCTTTGAATTCAACAAATCGTAAATTTTCTCCTGAAAAAAAGTAAAAATTGAGAAAAAATATTTTGAAAGCATAATAATGATTGTTATATTGAAAACTTTCAATCACAACTTGTCTTTTCGCTCTGCATCTGTAAAGTGACAAAAAGTAGGTATTGTACTGCTGTGCCATGAAAAGACGCCGTATGAGCACTCCAATGTTGCCAAATTTCCGTCCAGAAAATTTTTATTTCTGAAGAATGCGTTATGGAAGTTTTTCTCTGCAATTCTCAGGCACTTTAGATCAAATATTTTAAGAAAATCAAAAGAACAATATTCACAAACATTCCCAAAAATTCGTTACTTGTCAGGTGAAATTTAGCAACGTCTGCAAACTTATTAGACGTTCTTCCTCAGTGCGGCAATAAAATTGGAGTACATTTTTCAATTAGAATTACAATTCCAATTACAATTATATTTCTGGTTCAGTTGAGAAACAACGTATGTGCCAGTAGTTTCCCTATGCACGTATGTGTTTATCGGACGAGTCAAACTACATCTCGGAATTAGGGAATACAATTTCTGACTCGGTTTACTCGTAGAGACAACAAATGCATAATTCGCTCTCCTATGTACTACAGTATTTTTACGGATGAGCCAGAAATTGTAGTTCCTAGTTCCAAAATGTAGTCCAGTTGTACCGCGCCGAACAGAAAGAAACCGAAGCCACATCAGCCATTATCAAATTCCATCGAACGATGTTTTTTTCTTCTTTTTTTTCAAATGAAAGGTTATTCAGATTTATTAGAGAATTATTATAAAGAATTTGCTTTGCGTTCCAGAGCGAATCTCCTATAGTTTTCAAGATAACCCACACTACCGTTCGCCTGTGAAATAATAATTCGTCCGTTTAAATTTAGTAATGACTGATGTGACTTGGCTCCTTTCCGCCTTATGCGGTCCAGTTAAGCTCGGAGCCCAAGAACTAGGAAAGCTCCTGTGGTATGATATAATGGGCGATAGATGCTCGCAGCGGTGCGAAGAAAGTGGCTTCGAGTGAGAGGAGCCTATTGGAACTTACCCTTAATGACTTCCCCTGCTCGGTAATGGGACCTTCGTTAAATACCTTGCATATTGGCGCAGCCTCGCCAGGCTCCATACCCCAATATCGCCGTGTGTCACGTGTGTGTCTATGCTAAACCCGCCCATAATAATTACAAAAGCTTCATGAAAAGTTTCCATCCATATGAGATGCTGGGTCAGCCTTCGATTGGATCCCATTTATGACTTTGCCCCATTTCTCGAGATTTACGCCTTGACTTGAGTTTCCGAAAAGAGGATTTTTTCGACAAGATCAAGCTCTTTTTGATGAAGCTTCAACAGCCGCAAACATGTCGTTGTTTTGGAGGGAAACAATTTTCGGGTGCAAGTAAACGCCACCCCTCTCTCAAAAAAAACGCCACTTAGTCCCTGATTTATCTCTTTGCGAATTATATATTTGTTATTGTACTTTGTTTTTTGTTTTTGTTTCTTTATTGAGTAAAACATATTACATTCTTTCATACATATAAATTATAAGAGTAACGCGTAAAGATTAACACCTGAAGCGCGAAGAGCCTGGAGAGGAGGGGGCAGAAAGCGGTTAGAGAGCGCAGGCCCCTATAATTCTATATTAATTGATAAAGGCATATCGATTGTTATTGGACGCTAATGAACTGTTTGCGACTTGCATATGTTACAGACTTCCGGCTACATTTCTTTTCTTTTTTTCTCAAAAAGCAGCTGATGTTCATTCATGACAAAGAAAAGTTTACTAAATGATTTTACTGTTCTCCATCAAGAATGTCGCACGGAAATGCATCACAACTGTCTCGTAAAACATCAAGTTGTGATGAATCTTTTGAAACCCGGCAATTATCACTGTTCATTTTTTGGGGTCACATTGTCGATACATGACTATAAAAACGCCCTGGTTAGAAAAGAGGCCATGACAGGCTTACTAGCGAATTTGAGAAGAATTTTGGAGGACGGAGGCTCGAAGAACTCCATGATTCCAATTTCGTCGATAAAAATCCACCCTTTTTCACTTGCGGCCTTCCTCTCAGAGAGGCGGAGAGGTTCTGTGAGATTTTTCCGTAATCAGAGGCGCAGGTGAAAAGCGAGAGAATACTCGTCAAAGCAACGGTTGCTGAATGAAATTGATTCTCAAGTTTATGCATTGGGCTGAATGAATATTTATCTGGGGCATCGGAATAGGATACCTGAAACGGGTGGGGGTGGGGGGATGAAAAATTCAGCCCAACCTCCAACTGGTGGAGGCCGAGTTGTAAGATTTAGTCAGCTCAGTCGGTGGGTTTTTTAAAGTAACTACTGTGACGTTATCATTATTTTACCTTCTTTTCAGTCCGAGAGTTTGACTATGTTGCCATGGAGTGAATTGCAGGTCGAGCGAATTAAAGTTACTCTAAAATTTGGCATTTGTAAGGAGTAATCATCATTTCTCAAATTGAAAGGGACCAACATTTTTAATGCATAAGTATATTGCTCCTGATAAATGTGCAGAATAGACCGATTTCTATTCAATTAAGGATCAACCCTCAGAAGATATGGAACCGTTAAACAATTCAATTTTTTTAAGCAGAACGAGTGTTTTCATTTTAAAATTTTCATTCAGACAAAAAAATAGCAATAAATATAAAACTAGGTTGTCCGCCAATGCCACATGTACCTATTTTTTTAGAGGTTACTGGGCAACCTGCATTTTAAAATCAAAGTTTTGAACAGAAAAACAGCCGTCTGCGTATTTTATCAAAGTTTCAGTGCGCGACGCAGTGGGACTCGCGAGTACGATTTTAAATTCTGTGTCATATTGTTTTTCATCCATGTTTTTACTACACTTGTTTTAACACCTGGCGATGGCGTAAGGCCAAATTTACATCGTTTAGCAGAAAGAAACAAAACCAAATCAGCTATTGCCATAATGGGGCAGTTAAATTTTTCTCGAGAGAACGTTTGTGCGGACTTCTTTGAAAATGTTGGGGAATTTGCCTCGTATTATACAAAAAATTAACTAAAATTTGCACAAAAATCCACACAACCGTTTCCGGGTAAACAATTAAAGTACTCAATTAAATTTTGCAATAGATTATGTGACTTGTTTCCATTCTGCTAAACGCGGTCCAAATGGACATGGGTGTAAGTTCTTCGTTTTGTCGTTATTGAGTCATCACGAAATTTTGCAAAACAAAATTGTGAACTTTTTTCGTTGATGCCCTACCGTCATCCTTTCAAGGGTTCCGACGTCCCTGCTGCTATTTTAACATTGCACGAATAACCTACAAATTTTGATGCACTTTCTGTCAACATGGCAGCGGAACTTTCATCGTTTATACAGGCAAAAGTTGTGACGTCACGGACAAAGCTCTTGTCTCAACAAGGAAGGGATGGATCACCCTCCGGAGACTCAGCGGACAAATTCTAGCCGGGTCGCAGCTGCTCAAAGTTCTGCAGTATCTTATTGTAGCCCGACCTTCAAAGTTAAAGC